TTTAAGGTTTCCTAAAAATGCTCTACTAACTGATAAATTAAATCATCTGAAACTCTGAGATCAGTTAAATATTCCATTATTGTTCTCCCTGAACTTGCCATCATATAAATAATTTGGCTGACGCTGATGAACAATACAGATAATTTTAGTTGTTTGAACTTGTTTTCGCAACTTGGTTATATTGTCAGGATGACCTAGAGCAACACACCTTTTCCTGAGTCCATGTATGCATGAGAATTTGCAGTCAGACTGTGGACTTGGTACGACGGTCCGACATTTGAAATTATCAAATATACTCTGGACTCCGGACTAGATGCGCTCCTCTAGCTCTTCCTGCCAATATGACCAAGTTACTGAAACAAGGTCAAACAACTACTTTACAGCGAAAGAAGACTGCAGCCATGCATAGCTTCGAACATAGATTATTTTCTGCGGGCGCTAAGAGCTAATAGGACTTAGGGAGTAACTTATAGAGACAAGAAGCATATCATTTCAGCTGCTTTAGAATGCAATTCTACACCTTAAGGTTTTGGTAGATGTTCACTAACTCTTTTTATAGCACTAGAGCGGCTAAATAGTCAGTTTAAGTGACCGACAAGTGCCTTCTGATTTTGTTTCGCGGAAACACTTTACTCAAAGTGGATGACTTTTTTTGACAGCCACATTGGCATGACTACTTGTTGACTGTGATTTCATCTGTTCCGAGAAACAAGGATGTAGGCTAATTTATGAGTCAAATGTAGTTCATAGGATGCAATATGATCAATTTTCCTTTATTACTTCTTTAGCCATTATAACAAACCTTGCAGAAAAGCGGTCGAGGAGATTTCTGTCACCGAACTTTCTGCTAGCGAAATTCCGGAACCCGTTCCACAGGATTCGATACTGGATACATTTACAACACAGCAGAATCCACTGCCCCTTCTTAAAAGCATGGACCCACCGGACCCGCCGGTGGACAGACTTGCCCTGTTACGGTCTCTCCGCGAGCCGGTTGCCGCCAAAGTGAAATACAAAACAGCCCTATACGAAAGAGCGAAGCGTCGATTGGAGGATTGTCTGACAGTAGGTAATAAGGTGAGCTGACATCTTGTCGTAGTCACAGACATGCAATCACACCAGACTTGGGCTCAGACTGTAAAGTTCATAATTCTTGGCCTGGCAGATGGTTTACACGAATTCTTATTAATGAGCCACATTCTAAACGAACTAGTTTGTAATTTTGTTGATCCGACCTTGTTTTCGCAACTTGGTCTGAGCGTCATGGCGACCTTGTGGAATGTACCTAGTCCCGTGTCCTCTGCCATAGTATTCGTGATTTCCAGCATTTGATCAGTGAGAGGCGCCATCGTAAGCACAGAGTTACAACTTATCAAAATGACAAGTGAAGGCAATCCCTTTGACCAATTATCTATTCAACCGTCGTGGTATCACTGCTCGCCTCTATTTTTGTTCTTCCCTCTAGTGCCGCATCTCTTTCTCTTAACCCCACTTCATATGGCCCATCCACTCATTCATACAATTCTGTGCTCTCGTTTCCTCAAATGTCGCCTAAGGGTGTGTCGCTACAAGTGGGTTTAGTGAAGCAGAATCATCTCCATCACCAGTACCTGATGCCGTTTGCAGGGCTCCTAG